GTGATAGCCCGGATTTTCTCTGGGTTGGGCTCTATCCCTCTCTTGGTCACCATGAATCCCAAGAACTTCCCGGTACGAACCGCGAAGACGCATTTCTTAGGATTCAGCCGGAGGTTGTACCTTGCCATGATATCGAACGTGGCTCGCATATCAGCCGGGTGGTTCAGAGATACCTGGCTTTTGATCAGCATGTCGTCGACGTATGCCTCCATGGTCTTTCCCAGTAGTGGCTTGAAGAGCTTGTTCACCATGCGCTGGTAGGTTGCCCCCGAGTTCTTCAAGCCAAACGCCATTACCCGGTAGCAGTAGGTTCCTTCGGGTGTGAGGAATGATGTCTTCTCTTCATCTTCCTTGGCCATGTAGATTTGGTGGTAACCCTTGAAGGCATCCATGAAACTTAGGAGTTCGCACCCCGCAGTTTCGTCCACCATTTGATCTGGACTGGGGAGGGGGTATGAATCCATCGGACAAGCCTTGTTCAAGTCCGTATAATCCACACACATTCTCCACGTGTCGCCCTTGGGAGCAAGGACAACGTTGGCCAGCCAATCCGGGTACGTAACTTCCCGGATGTGACCAACACTGAGGAGGTCTTTCACTTCCTTCTTGACGAAGTCTCGCCGGTCACTGGCCAGGTACCGCTTCTTTTGGCGTACCGGTCGACTTCCCTCCCTTACGGCCAACCGGTGGCAGATAACAGAGCGATCTATCCCGGGCATATCCGCCACGCTCCACGCGAATATGCCCGCGTATTCTTGGAGGACCCGTGTAATCTGCTCCTTGAGATCCTCGGGGAGATTTGCTCCAATTCTGACCATCCTCGAAGAATCACCCGGGTGAAGTTCGATTTCCACCGTCTCAGCCTCGGGCTCCAGTTTCTCCCGGGTCTCTCCCTTTGTGATCTACTGGGAGATGACATTGACCCCCCTGGTCATTTTCTTGATTGCCCGGGCATAGCACTCCCGGGCGTTCCTCTGGTCGCTCTTCACCTCACCCACACCACCTGGAGTGTGGAACTTCATGCATAGATGAGGCATGGAAATCACCGCCCCGACTTTATTGATGCCTGGCCTTCCAAGAATTGTGTTGTGGACGCATTTGATGTCCACAACTATGAACCGCATCTTCTTCCACACGGTCTTTTCACCTGATCCTAGTTCGACCGGTAGAATTATGGATCCTTCAGCTTCAACGGTGTCCCCCGTGAAACCTGAGAGAGGGGTTTTGAGGGGTTCAAGTTGTGTTCGACACAACCTGAGTTTTTGGAAGGTCTCCAGGTATAAGATGTTGACACTGCTACCGGTATCAACAAGTACCCGGGCGACATCCACCCCGTTAATGTCCATGGTGATGACCAATGGATCATTGTGATCTTCACCGGTAGGAGGGAGATCCCGGTCAGTAAAGACGATAGGCTCCCTCCTAGTATGTTTACGCCTGGGCGGTTCAGCACTTACCTCTCCAACGTAAATGCTCCGGACCCAGTTCTTCCGCTGCGCGGCTGAATCTCCACCCTCGGGTCCGCCGAAGATCATGCCAATGTGTTCCTTTTCGGGGGCAGGTTGCCGCTCCCTTGGCCGGTTATTCCTCCGCCGGTCATTGTCCCGGTCATTCCCTGGGGCAGCTGGCCTAACCCATTGATGACTCTTCTCCTGGGCTTTCTGCAAGTAATCTTTGCCCAGCTCTCCACTGTCGATCAACTGCTGGATGACCCCCTTAACACTTTTACATTTGGAGGTGTTATGGGAATCTGACCTGTGGTACGAACAATAGGTGCCCGACCACTGCCGCCCTACTTGACCGGTAGGGTTTTCTGGAGGAATGACCGGTGCCTTTCGGACTTCTTGGCATTCCTCCGTATTGACCACTCGGATGACCGGGTCATAGTGGTGCCTCGGCCGGCTAGGTCCCGGTGCTTCCTCCTTCTTGACTTGCACCGGCTTGGACTTGTGACCATGCTCAGCTTCTCTCTTTGCCCGGAGTTGGGTTTCAGCTTCAGCAAACTCCCACGTAGTATGGTAGGCCTCTTGGTACGTGGCTGGGGGTTTCCGGCAGAACTCCTTGTATAGTTCCCCGGCACGCAAGCCATTCAAGAGGAGGGAGAGGACGGTCTTGTCATCCATCTCTTCCACCTTATCCACCTCTTCCTTCCACCGGGTAAGGAACTGAGTAAGGTTCTCAGACTCCCTTTGCCCGGTTGTACTAAGATAAGTGAATTTCTTCCTATGAGTACAATTCTCCTGGAACTTGGCCTTGAATTTTGAGGCCAAATCACTGAATGAATCAATGCTTCCCGGGCGAAGCTTGTTGAACCATTCAGTGGCTCGGTTCTGCAAGGTCTGGAAGAAAAGAAGGCACTTTTCTTCATCGGTGCAACCGTTCATGGTCGCACTCTGGTTGAAGGAGTCCAGATGGATTTCCGGATCTTCCTTCCCGGTGAATCTGGGGGCGTCGATCTTGACCTTTCGCGGGAAAGGTGTCAGAAGGACCCTTGCGGTGAACGGGGACCCTGCCAGGGGTTTGTCCCGGTCATTCTTCTCTCCGACCTTCTTTTCCAGCCTTTCCAGCTTTGCCTCCATCTGCTGGACGCGGTCGTTTGGGATGGTTAACCGGTTCGCCACCGGTAACCTGGGCTGGCTCTCTGCCTCCCCTTCTTGGTGGGAGGCCCTCGTCCTCGCTGGCTCCTGCCAGTTAGACCGGGAGCGCCGGGTGCGGGCAGGCTCGGCCTCCCGCACCTCGCCTAGCCGGGCGAACGCGCTGACATGGGCAACGCTCTGCCCCAGCCTTTGCTTGGCTGACTTCCTCTGGCCTTCCTCCCTATCCCCCAGCCTTTCGAAGGCGGAGTTTCGGGAGGTTGCTGGCCGGATGTTCTTTCCTTTCTTCTTCTTGTGGGCCCTCGAGATGTCCCACTCGCCGTCATCACTCTCAATCGAGATGCAATGACCGTCAGGAGTGATCTGCGTAGTTTGCAGGGGACGCGATGGCCCTGCGGCGTTAAGTGCGCCGGTCAAGTTGACAGGGGCCATGGTGCTGACCACCTGGGGCTGGAAAGGTGATGGCTGCGGCATCGGCGTCTGGAACGACATCACCGCCATCGGAGCTTGTAGGGGTATGGTTCCCGCGCCTGGAAGGGCGAAGGGGAACATACCAGGGAGGAAAGGCATCCCCCCGTTCTGCTGGCACATGGCCATGACTTGGCCAAAGCCCTGGATGGCTTGTAGGTTGGCTGGGTCATTCATGAACTGAGTCATGCTTGGGGGGAACGTTACCCTCGGTCCAGCGGAAGGGACGGGGGTCACGAAGGGACTGATCACGCTGGCCATCGGGACAGAGCTCAGACCCAGGGGCAACACCGGGGCTGAAATGACTGGTATGGTTGCAGCCACAGGGATGCTGGCGCCCTCATTGGTGGCTTGCACCTGTGCGGAAGTAGCGTTGATTTGTTGGCTGGAAGACATTTCGAGTGGTGTTTTGGTGGGTAGGTTTGTGTTTAGGAGAAGAAACTTTAACGGTCCCACGGTCGGCGCCAAAAATGATGGTGTAAATTACTTGACCGGTCAAACTATACTAGGCCGGGTCTAGAATAGTTTGCTTGATTCGGCAAAGTAAGAAAGGTACAAACTCGTAGATTGACCGGTAGGATTTTAGGTGGAACACCTGTAACCCAATTTATATTATAACGGAGAATGCACGGGTGCTTTTACAAGGGAGTTTAGAGAGAATGAATTCGGATCCCTCTTTCTGAGGTTTACATGAGTATTTATACTAGGCTAAGGGGACAGGACCACGTGCGCCCACGTGCGGGCATGCTGCTGATGTGGTGCGAGGTGACTGGTTTCGTCCTCGAGCTGCCTTGTCGCCTTGTGGGGGGGATCATTCCCTTTGTCGAGTAGCGCCTTGGATGGATTCTTCAGCATCTCCAGTTGTCCTCTACTGACACGGGTCGCTACACGCCAAGCCCTCGCAGATCCTCTTCTGCCGACACTTTCCAACCTCAGAAACTACACCGGGTAATCTCCGAGGGGTGAATTCATCGAAGTCTGGAATAAATAGGATGATAACGTAGTTTGACCGGTATACTTTTTTGTGAAGTGTACCGGTCAAACTTTAGCCGATGATATATCGTTTTGCTGACGATTTAAGTCTCCCTTCTAAAACTTTCGAGATTGACCGGTCAAAGATTTGGCCTCCTCCTTTGACCGGTCTTGGGTGAAATACACCCATCAGATGTGATGGGTATGTTAAGAATTAGTAAGATAAAAGTGACTTTTTAATATAAATGAGAAAAGTCTTTTGGATAGATGAAAAAAGAAAAGAGAGGTTTGATGGGACGAAGGAAGTATGATTCTCCATTAATAGCCACGGGAAAGAAAACAACACAGGTAAAATTATTAGAGCAACCCAAACAGTTAAAACGACTAGATGATAATTGTTCAACTCCAAACAGACTCGATGAAAAGCTACAAACCAATGTTTAACTTTTATGAAAAAGCACAACCACAAGGACTAAAAAACCAAAATGAATTCTACAGTCTTTCTCAAGCGCCTCCAACATAAGTTCAAACAACATAAAAGCAAATAAATGTTAATGAATTAATCAATACGCATAAGAGAAATCATCATAATGTTAAAAATAACAAAATTATTACTCCCTCCGTCCCAAAAAGATTTACACGTTTCAAAAAAATTGCGTCTCACAATCCGTTACCTATTTCCATTAAAAAACTACTTTTACCCCTTACTTTTTCAAACCCTACCTATCACATCATACCTTTTTCAAACTTTTACCCATCACATCAAGGATATTTTTGGAAAGTCAACACAAAATTATCACTCCCTTAATTTCAACTTTAGTCAAAATGGGTAACACTTTATGGGACGGAGGGAGTATATGAATTCTAACTTTAAGATCAATTTAGGACCATTAAGAATAGATCAAATCAAATCCACTCAAACAAGACCTTAAAAATTCAAATCAGAATCAATTAGGTTGGGCGAACGAAACGTACCATAACATGGTGTTTTAAGCAACTATATAGAAATCACTTGTTATACCACAACTAATGTTTGGTGGGACAATTGCGGCTATCATGGTATGCTCTTTCTCCACACGCTCTGCATCGCCTCAGCCTCTTGCCTTGTTGTTCCATTGCTTTCTCCAGCTTGCTCTCAGTTGTATCACCAGCTAACTCTTGCACTTCTTTCAAAGCAATTTGAATTTTTTGATTAATAACATGGAGCTTGTTTGAGTCCCTCCCAGCAGCTTGCATACACTTTAAAAAACCTTCCAAATTTTGTGAAATAGCTTCATCTTCTTGTCCCTCGATGAGATTGCCATGAACGCCAAACACTTTTTCCTTTGTAGTCCAACGTTTTAGAACATAAAATGAAGATAATTTGAGTTTATCTTTCTCGGCTGCTGCTTTGAATAGGACAGAGGGGCTGTCATAGTTAACTCCACGGGCGCGTAGTCGTGCATTGACCCTTTCCCACTCCTCGTGATATTTGGGATCATATGGCACTGCCTGCCCATTTATAAAAGGCTCCCCTCCATAATCTTTTTTTTCAGGATCCGCGTAGGCATCTGGAAGCACCCATCGAACTCCATCCAACTCTTTTAGTTTGTAAGAGAGTTGCTCTGGCACAAAAGCCCCAAATGTGTAATAGCATCTTGTTGAGACAGAGTAGATCCTCATCCTCGCCTCTTCCTCGCTCCCAACGACCCGAGCTAGAAGTTTGATGTAGCTGTCGATTATCTCATCCCTCGTTGGATTGCCCTCTGGCTTTTCCACAACAACAAGCCAGTGCTCGAAATCGCATCCGGGGAGCAAAATTGACTCTTTTGAGGGAAGATCTGAAAACATAGGGCTCGGATCCTGGGGGGGTCGGAATCGCGTCCATCGAGCAAAATTGACACTATTACAGGTCACGAACCCTCGCCGCGCCGCATAAAGGGGTCGGATGCTGGAGGCCAACGGTCGGTGGCGGAGGAGGGAGGATAAATAGAGGAAGTTGCCGCACGAAGGGAGAGAAGAGACAGAGCGAGCGGACGCGGTGCTGGTGGCCTGCTTTCCGGCGGAGAATAGAAGACGAGCAAGAACACCAGTCGCCATACCTTCTCTAGGGTTTTCGCGCTATGCGTATTTGAAAAATCTATCTGTAACAACATAAATATCCTAGGAATATTTTTTTGGTAATATATTACCTTTAATGCATTTAATTATAGAAAATATTATTGCGTTATTACCTTATATATTCTCTCCGTCCCTAAATAAACTTCTTCTTTCGTTTTTTCTATGTTTCCAAATAAACTTCTTTTTTCCATTAAAAACCTCTTTCACCTCTTAGTTTTTCATATTCTATCTATCACATCAGACCTTTTTACTTATAATCTACATATCACATCTTACTTTTACACATCACATCAAGAGTATTTTTAGAAAGTCAACACCAAAATATCCCTTCCTTAATTTTCCAAAAAGTCAAAAAAGAAAATTTATTTAGAGACAGAGGGAGTAGCTTTTATTTAATTTCAATTTAATCACAGAAACATTTTTCAAAAATATAATACCTTTTATACATTTAATTATAAAAGAATATTTTTACATTATTACCTTATATATCTTTTAATTTATTTAATGTGGATTTAATTATATAAACATTTTTACGGTAATATATTAACTTTTATATATGGAGGAAATATTTTTTTTGTAAGGCATGCATTATGTTAAAATAATAATAGAAATACTAATGCAACAATGGTAATGATTGAAATCGCGCTAAAATAGTGTTTCATTATGAAAAAAATATATGTACATTAACACCTTATATAGCTTTTATATCATATAAATTTGATTATAAAAATTTTTATCTTATAAAAGTTTTATGCTTGCAAAGTTAGTCTTAAAATTCAATTAAAGAGAATTTCAACTTTTAAGGAGGAAATTCACTATTCGGATAAACTGAAATATACATCAATACACCAGATATAAGTAATAAAAATAAAGTATGTTAATTAACAATGTACAGTTGATATTTTTATGACAAACAAATATTATGTCAAAATAATAATAAATGTACTAAGCTAATAATAGTAAAAATTGAAATTGAGTAGAAATAGTGTTTCATTATGGAATTTTTTAATATATTACTCCCTCCGTCCCTAAATAAACTACCCCTTTCGTTTTTTCTTTATCCCCAAATAAACTTCTTTTTTCCTTTAAAAACTCACTTTTACCCTTTATTTTTTCACACTCTATCTATCACATCATACTTTTTTACTAATAATCTACCTATCACATCTTACTTTTACACATCACATCAAGGGTATTTTTGGAAAGTCAACACAAAAATATTCCTCCCTTAAATCCTCAAAAAATCAAAAATGGAAGTTTATTTAGGGACAGAGGGAGTATTATTTTATGTAGGTTTTATATAATGTCAATTTAATTATGAAAATATTTTTATAGCTTTTAAAATTTTACGGTTGACAAGAAGAAAAAAATTATATACCATATATTATTACCATTTACTAGCTTTTACCATTTAATATTTCTACAAGTAAACACTATTTCAAGGCTATCTAAATACTTACCATTTTAAATGAGTATTTTTATTACCATGCCTAACATAATACATGCCTAATAGAAATATTACTATCTATATATATATATATACTATTTAAATGCAGGGGAAATTATATTTTTATTTTCCCGCCCAAAGTGACATGCCCAAATCACCGTTGATTAGCATATGATGATATGCAATCCACCGTTGATAACAACTCATGATTAATTAGCTTAATAGGGAGTATTATATTTAAATACTTAAATTGACCTCATGTATGGAATTCAATGGAAGCGTACATTTATGGAATAATACTCCATTTAATTGCGCATGTATTAAATTCTATGGAAACATATAAATTGATTCATTAATGGGACAAAAATATTACTTCGTATTACTTTGTTATACATGGAAATAGAAATATAAAAATATGAATTCCACTTACTAGGTATGAAAAACGATTATTATATATAAAAAATTTACCATACAGAAAATTTTAATAGGTGTGACATTCATGCTTGCGTACTACCAAATTTGAGAACACCCTTGACATATATAATTCACGTACTCATTCTAAATTTGAAATAAAAGTTTAATTTTAGTTAAGTTTTTAAGAATAATAATATGTTCAAAATAGATATAAATTTTAGTTTAAAATTCATATAAATATAAAATAAAGTTAATGGGATGAAAATATAAAGCTGAGTTTTAATAATAATAATAATAATAATATAAGGTGGAGCATTCATAATAATATAATACTCTGTATATGATTATTATTATTATTACTACATTCATATATGGAAATAGGAATGCATTTCTTTGGTATAAAAAAGTAGTACGATTGGTAAGATTGTGATTTGTGAATATATGTTAATATAATTAGGTTATGTTTTAAGTTTATAATGTTTGTTTTTAATTATTTAAATTTTAATTTAGGTTATGATATGACATATCAACATGTTTTTTGATCAACAAGGAGGGGGAGACCCCGAGCTAGTAGCCTCGAGAAGTGGTGGTAGCGTGTCGCGTAGTAGTGACCCTCATCATATCATCAATACTCAAAGTTTCCAAATCTGCAGTAGGGACCTCAAACGTTCTCCATATATGTCTTGAAAAGCCCTAAGGTTAGCAAGACAATCCGCAACCTTATTTTGTTCACGCAAGATGGCTCGAAAGCTGATTTTTTGGAATCTATCAGTCCAACTTTTTATCGATATAATGGTATCGCTGATGGGTCCCCTCAGACTCGTCGATGTTGTAATCCAATTGACAACTTCTCTAGCGTCAGACTGCACCTCAAGATCTCTCACCCCTCTACCACAAGCCCATTGGATGCCTTTCTCAATGGCTTTAGCCTCGATTTCCTCGATGTTATTTGGTCTAGTTTTGTAGGAAAAACCACCAAGCCATTCTCCGTTATTGTTGCGAATGACTCCGCCGCACCCCGCCATGTTAGCCATAACTTTATTGCTTCCATCAAAGAGTGAATTCATGACTGCCAGTAGCAACTGCTAGTGTTGAGCGTGTTTTTTCAGCGATGAAGTTTGTGAAGAATGAGGTTCGAAACAAAATTTTTGACCAATGGTTAAATGATTGTCTAGTGACATATGTTGAAAGAGATGTCTTTGCTACTATTAGCAATGATAAAATATTGAATCAATTTCAAAATATGACAAACTAGACATTATCAATTGTAAGATGTATTTCACATTTGCAATGTAAACTATTTTTAATTAGTATTTTCAATAATATATAAACTTTATTGTTATGTATCATAGAATACTGTTTATTTACTGTTATAAGCGTAATGGTTGGATCTAAATTTTTTAAATTTCAATCCCATAATTCAAATGTTCTGGGTCCGTCCCTGAGTACGGAGTAGTATTTTAAAATGGTGTATAACTATCTATACTACAATTAAAAAGGGGAATTCCCCATGACATTTTCTTGCATAAAAGGTGTTCAATCATAAAAAATAAGTGCTAAACATGATTTGGTAAGTGTTTAATGTAATAGTGGCGTGTAAAAGATAATAAATATTTACGAATTACAGAGTATAATGGGAATAAATGGTCAAAATTTTTAGGTTAAAAAAAGTTTAAATGGTAATAAACGTTATTGATGCTTTTGCACATTAATCTATACATCTATACATTATTTAAAAAGACATGAATTTTTTCCCGCCCATGTATAACACTCATATATAGAAAGTGTTGATAACATAAATGGTAGTTTAATTATTTTACTTTAATGTTTTCCTTCCATTTTAAATATGTTTTCATTTTTATTTTTATTTAAATGTTACACAATTTAAGCAATTAAATTAAATAGTAGTGAACCATTAGGGAATTGAAGTATGGAAATAAAATACACTGCCATTTAAATATTAAAATAAAATTTAAAAATTACAAATTAATAAAGTATGGGCAGGATTAAAATGATTGATTTCAAACAAACTACAAATTAATTATTTATCATTAAAAAAATATTATAATTTACAAGCACAAATGCCATTTTTACCATTCAAAAGATTTTATCTAATCTTTTATTTATACCATGCCATTCATCTACTATTGTAAATTTATTTTCTTATTTTATTTTTTGATGTTTAATTATAATTATGATATTAAATTTTCTTACCTTACGTTTTAAAAATGACAAATGTTCTAATTAGAAAATAAATAGATATGGTATGGTAAGCAATTAGCACGATTTAAAAACGAAAATAAAATAAATGGTAAGTTTTCTAAAAGAAATTAGGTCAGTGTTCTAAAATAAAAGAGAAAATAAAATACTCCACCCGTCCCCAATTTGATTATAAATTGCGGGTTACGGAGTAAAATTTCTTACTTTTTGAAATAATTTTATTTACAAATTGATATATGAATAAGATATAAAAATTACATATTAAACAACTACGTCAAAAGTTCTACAAAACAAGAAGTGATAAGATTATTTTATTTTATCAAATACTTAATGAAATCGCGTAAACAAATAAAAGTTATCGAGAGGAGAGAAAAAAATTGTAATCTATTTAGGGACAGAGAATACATCTAAAAATGATAAGTGTTCTAAAATTAATTAGAAAATAATGTGGTTTGGTAAGTAATTAGTATGATTTAAATACGGAAATAAAAAAACTGTAAAATTAATATTAATACTATACTTTAAAAACATGCTTTTTTTTAAAAAGGTAAGTGTTCAAATTAGAAAATTAGAAAATAAATACGAAATGGTATGTCACCACGATAAGCAAATAGTACCATTTAAACACAAAATAAAATAAATGGTAAGTGTTCTAAAAAAATTAGGTAAGTGTTCTAAATAAATTAGAAAATAAAATAATTATTAAAACGATATGTATTCTAAAATATATTAGAAAATAAATACGGTACAGTAAGTAAATGATACCATTTAAATAAAAAATAAAATAGAAAATTAAAAAAATAATAATATCAATTAATACTACAATTTACAAGCATGGTAACGTATAAAAATGGTAAGTGTTATAAAATAAATTAAAAAATAAATGTGGTACATTAATCAAACGGTACCATTTAAATGC